ATTTCACATGTTAGAATCCAATAATCGCTTAGCACGTCTTCGTCCTAATACTGATAACATCTGTCATTTATCACTAAATTTTACTAGTAAAACCGTTCGCCTTGCTCATCACATGTTGCATTCACATTTGAAAAAAAACGCTATATCTTAAAAATTCAACATGATAAAATTTTTTTGGTGATTAGAACGCCCCAAAATAAAACTTTAAAAAAGTTTCTTTTTCTTATACACAAAAATTATTCAAAATTTATAAACTGTTATTTGCAAATATAATATCTTTGATTGAATTGATTGCTAATAAGAAAAATCATAATAATGATAATTCATAAAGACAAGTAACGACAAAGAAATATCTTCTACTCGCTCTTATTTGGATTTTAATTGATTGTCAATCGCCTTTCCGATTTGTAGCCACAAGACAGTATGAAGTACAGTAGCTTGTTGGGCGACAATAATGATCATTGATTCATACGTCATCTGGTTGCAGTATGCGTCACTGCATTACTACACTTATAGAAACGGGCGGCGTTAGATGCATCACTGGTTCGTCACGCGGGATAATTCCGCGCAAGCTGCTCGAATAACCGAATGACGAGTATGAAAAATCTCCTAATCATTAATGGATGGAGTGTTAGTCATTCAAAGATACAACAGTAATTTTCTTGACCATTTATAGTATGTTTTTATAATTGCGAACTAAAAAACTTGAAGAACCGAATTACACTATTAAATTCACAATATTAATTAAATTATGTCCAATTTGAATTATTTTTAATCATTCTTATATAGATCGTCACTGCTCTTATTTAACTAAAACAATAGAGTTATACAAGAAATATTAAATTTGATTAAATTTTATTTATTATTTACTAAGTGTATACGTTAGTATGTGTGCTGTTTATTTTGAAATTAAGCAACTCAATTACATAAATAGATTGATTAGAAGTTGTATCTTTAATCACGTGTATTAAAATTATGCTATTTTTAATATTTCTATACATTTCTGCAAAATTATGTTTAAATATTTTACGTTAAAAAATAAAGTATTGTTATTAATAATGTCTTCAATTATAGTAGTTAATAAAACGAACGAAAGAAAAAAATATTTAAGTCAGACTATCGACGAGAAATCAAATGTACATTTAGGTCAATCAATAACACGACGCATATCGGATTCTTTAACCCTATACCTTCGACGCAGAACGCTTTGCCCTTACCACTACGAATTCTGATCACGTATAGAGAGTACAACGACATACTTTCTTACGCCGGAAATTCGAACACAAGCTGAAGCTAAAAGAAATACAGGCCCAATTAAATGTTGAACCTATATCTTGCGCGTTTTGTTAGTGATTCTTTCACAGCCGTATCATAAAATGTATACTTTAGTATAAAAAAAGCAATCAAAGTGTTGCGGAATTCCAAGCTGAAGAAACGCTCTATCATAAATTTCGAAAATTAGCGAAGGTCCTCTTTTAATCTGCCGACATATTGGACTCGTTAACGAATAATAACGTCTGCTATTCTAGAACGGATTGCAAGAAAAATGCTGCATTTGATAAAGAAATGTTTTAAAAAACGCAATAATTATACAAGCTCGATTAAAAATAATAACTTAGTTTAGCAATCGGGTATTCTTCGTCGATTCATTTATTCAAACAAATTGTTTATCGATAAAACAAAAAAAGAATAAAAAAAATATTGCATGCACATTGAATTAAAATACCACGATACAACAAAAAAAAAAAGAAGATATCGATTTAAGTATTATGATTCAAATAAAAAAAAAAAGAAGATATCCACCGATTCTATCATTATGTTCGCGATTAAGTTTTAACACTCCAACATTTTATTTTCTCTATATTCTCGTTATTTTATTACTTAACTCGATAACCCAGTCAACACCAATTAAAAGTAACATAATATTAACGTTATAATTTCCCACTGAACAATGTAACTGTTGTATAACACCATGTATTATATTACATTCACATATTGTTGAATGTGAATTTATAGCATTGATATTATGTTACTCTTACAATCGTGTCTACTAGAAAAATTCTGTTTCCAACGTTTTTGACACAGTACAATCACGTTTAAACGTATGACTCGACACAAAAGATAGGTACAGCCCTGACCTTAAATCGAGCCCTGCAAAGGGCCCGGCGATCGTCGGCCCCACTCCTGGGCCCAGACCCGTGCTGGAGCCTCTCTGCCCATTCCATTCCAGAGTCGTAGCCGTCTCTCGCGTGCATCGCCCGCCGGAGGAAGCATTCCATTCATGTCTCGGAGCGCGCAACACGCTCGTCGCAGCGCCGCGTGAGAAAGAGAAGGCCACGAAAGAGGGCCCCGCCGCGAGGAGAAGCGCAGGGTCCTCACTACCTGGCGCCGCCTTCAGCGACGACGACGACGGGCCGTGATGACGGCCGTGATGACGATCGACGGGTTCGCCAGGAACGTCTGCCACCCGCCCTGTAGATTCTTCCAACGCCAAACACGTGGTCCTACGTTATTGTCTCGCCGCCGCGCCGAGCGCATCCGGGGAATCCGGGGATGCAGTAAAGCTGCACTGGTGCGTTCTTTTGTTTACCTTGCTCCTTTTTTTTACATCGCTTTCTCGTCCTATGTACATCTCGCAAAATGTTATGTACCGTCGATCGCAGAGGAAATTCGTCAAACGTGATCGATCTTGATAAAAATGATATAAGAGTATTTTTTTTATATTGAATCTCAAAAGTTCCGTGCAAACATGAATCGCGGAGGTGTGAAGATAATACGCGTATTATCTCGCTTTTATTTCGAGATAGAATTGGGTGTCTGTAAATATAGCGGCTTGATTAAGAGGTTTATCACTAGTGTTTGTGCTACTGATAAAGACGAGTGGTTAGAATGGTAAAACATTTAGCGAGATGTCTGCCTTGTTGCGCCGGCGCCGACTAGAATGCTATGGGAATCTCGTGTTCCCTATTTTCGAGTGGATAATATCTCATTTCGCAGCAGAATTACAAATTTCATAATTCTTCACCGGCAATGGTGAAGTAAATTCTAACTTTTCTGTTAACGGTTGAGAAACAGCAAATTTTTTATTATTCTTGATTATATAAAAATTTGAAAAACTTTAATATACCTGTTAAAGTTCAACGAATGTCTACCATCTTAGAAGTTGTATTTTAACTTATTTTCTTTAGATTTAAATTTATTTATAAAAATTCATATAATAAATATCGATGATGTCTTTAAAGACTTTATTTACCGGTAGAGGCTTAAACTTTATTCGTATAGCCTTGGCGGAGTGTAATTATGTAATGCAATAAGCAAAACAATAATCTTATTATTTTTTCATGTCAAAATCGTACATCAATACTGTCGCGTCGATAAAACCGTAATCGTAATATGACTCAGTCTGTGAATTATCTTTCGAATACCAAGCTACATATTCTGATTCCTATCATATCTGCTTTCTGCTTATTTAAAATCATTCACTGGTACTGGATCGCAGAGAACGGCGCTATTGTAAATAATCTTTATTTAGCAAAGCGGTCTGCGAAGGGTCGTAACCGACCGTCATCCCGACTCTTTTCGTCTTCAAAGCGCATAACCGCCGCGCATCCTCCGCATGCTAACGCGGCTGTTGAACTCCCCGGTCCCTCTTACACACACACACACACACACACACACACACGCGCGCGCGCGTATGTGTGTATGTGTGTGTGTGTGTGTGTGTATATATATATATATATATATGTACGTATACATATTTATTTAAAAGAAATAATTATTTTTATATATATATATATATAATTATTGCTTTTAAATATATATATAAAATTATCGCTTTTAAATGGTTCGACGCAACAGCCCATATATCACTAATGTATTTACATACATTCCGGTAAAAGATATTCCATTCCGGAAAATCTTACGAGAGAAACATTTCAGTGCATCCTCCGTATACTGTACATCAGAATTTCTCTCGATAGATTCCTTTCCTTTGATAGGACTCTCCTGAAAGCGACGAGATCTGGCGCGACACAACGACAGATCTCCGATTTTTTACAACGACGCGGATGTTGAAATAACGAGCGAGAGATTTTGATTGTTCGCGCGGTCGTCGAAACCGCCGCACTTCCTTTGCTTCCCGCCGTGGGTGATAGTGTCAGGCGCAGGATGACGAATGTGTAATGTCGCGTCGCTAATTTTCCCGGGAATATGCATGCGACTCCGGCCAGCATGACGATACCGAAGTCCCGTCTTGTGGTTATGGCGAACTGACAGTTTCTGATGGTTTAACGTGCCGTTAATGTCGCGATGGAATATAAAAACTGTTATGAACGAGCGACTCTCACTTACTCCCACGTGGCAGGTTGAAAAGTAACATTTCGAAATGAAATATTATAGTCTCGACCATCTAGACCAAATTTTATTTAGACAACCCATAATCGCGCAGTGCACTTCATAATGTATGGCTTCAACTAATATAAGATCTATCTCGCAAATTATTTACTATAAATTATTCATTATACTTATAAGCCATAACTCGGAAAACAATAGTACATTAGACAATACTTTTAAAAATTACGATACTTTACAATCACTGGCAAACGTAAAGCGTTTCACGTTACCTGTACATGTACTTGTCTATAGACTAAATGCTAATATTTGCATGTACTCGGCAGAATTTTTACCATCATTCGCGGAACAACAAGAATTACGAGATATTCATGATTCTAGAATGAATAAACATACATACATAAATCCCTGCGATAGTAATCGTTCTCTGTATTTATCGATAATCGGCGTCGCATTACGATGGGAAAGTACTCTATTTTCTGAATGGAATTTGCGAAAAAAATCAAGTTATTAATTGTCAGAAAGTTACTGACTTAATAACTAACAATAAAGACTCCCAAAGTTTGAAAACCAATAATAAAAACATATTAGAAGGCATTAGAAGTCAATGCAGAAAACAATGCATAACGTCTACTTGTTTTTATTATTATATAATAACGTTGCTTAGATGAGATCATTCAAAATGTAGATTAATAGATTTTTTCTGTCTTTTATCGCATAGATGTACGTTCATTCGCAGATCTTCATTAATTAATTATTGCAAGAATCACGAAATGATACAGAATGTTTTTTATTCAATTCAATCCAGTAGTGTTATACTTATTATCAGACACCCTATATATCCTGAGATATTGCATACATATTTCTTAATATTAATTTCATTTTCACCAAAATATATTGCACCCTTCAATTATTAATATCAGGATTGGTTAAGTTGACTTTTGTTTTTAACTAAGTTAAAGTTAACAGTCTTGAAAATTTAACTTAATTAAAATACAAGTTAATCCGTAATAAAATTAATTGAATTAAAAGTTAAGTTAATAAAAAAAGTAATTAAAAAGTTAAAAATTAAATTTTCGAACATACAATAAAAAGAAAAAGCTTGATTATTTTACATAATTTTTTGTATTTTTCCTTTCTCACAGCTTATTTATTAAAGAATCTAGTTATTTTTGTTCACAAATAATGATGATACAACATAAAATTACTAAATTATATAGTCTCTCGCATTGTATCTAAGGACTGACTTCAAAAAAATCAAATTAAAAATTAATAGTTATTGATAAAATGTAAACTAAACTAAGTTGAAAAATTAAGAGTCTAAAATGTAACTAAGTTAAGTTAAAATTAATTTTAACTTTTTAACTTTTTAACTTAACACTATCCTGATTAATATATATATATATATATATATATATATATATATATATATATAATTTTCGAATTTTCATGATAAAAGAAATAATACTGAGAACAATAGACGTTTGACAAATGGTTCGTTTTCCAGAACGTTTGTAATCTGCATTTCCGCGATCGTAAAACTGCATTTTCCCAGAAGAGAATCCGACATCATTCAATACGCTTGGATACCGTCCAAGAATCGCCCCCAACTAATGCTTTAAACTTCAACCGAGTGACGTGTTACTCCGGGATAGCTCATTGAGCGTCATGAATCACATTCCTTTACCGTAGACAGGTACTACTACACATCGAAACATCATGCGTTTCCACGTATCTCTGAGAAATTGTAATCTTCCTCCGTTCATATAAATCCATCGCGTATCGCGCGATCATTCAGTAACTCGAACGAGCCACCGTATACATCAGCTCCGGCGCGGGTGCGCGTCTCGTCCTTCCGAAACACGATTCATGAGACCCTGGGTCTTCGAAACAGCGGCGTGCCTCCCTTTCTCTCCCAGCCAGCGCTTCCCAAACTAGGGTTCCGCGGGATGACGAAAAATTACACGTTCTCCGCCGCTTGTAAAGCCTATTTAAACGACGCGCCGCTTTAGGGATCACTTACTGCGGCCATAAATATGTAAGTATATACGGGCGAATATCGACTCTGTTTGCTCTTCAGTATTATGAGTTTGTTTTCTCTTTCTCTCACTCTTTTTAGTCAGTTTTTTTACTTGTTTTGATTAAAACATAATGTAAGAAGAATGCAGTATTAATAGAAGAATATATTTAAAAAACAGATATTTTTCTAAAATTTATTAATATTAAATAAGTTTCAAACATAAGATTTATAAATGAACTTCTTTTGTAAATGTGAAATTTATTTACTTAATATTAATAATTTTTGGAAAATATTATTTTTTAAAAATAAAACGAAAGAGAATTTATTAATTTCTTCTGATGTAAATATTTTTACACATAAATTCTGGTAGATA